GCCAGACACACAGGGTACTGGCTGGCTGGGCTCCACGCTTGGACAGCTGGCCGTTCAAGTTCCTTTAGCTTCATGGTCGGTCCTGTGTGGGGCAGAAAACTGACATGGCCCTCAGTCCACTGAAAATAGAAACCTGCAAACTTAAGGGTCAGATCCAAGGAGTACCTGCAGACACAAGATCTTGTTTCCCTCTCCCCACCATGGAATGGGGATTTCAGGGCAATAGGGGGTAACACACACATAATCATCTGTAGCTCTGCAAGGACAGTTCACTTACCCAATTACGGATATCTAATGCATTTACCCCAAAAAGATATCCAAACACAGTGGCTGCCACAAGCCCAATGGTGATGATAATTATCAGATCAGATAATATCTCAGTGACCTCATCTATTCCCTTGGCTTTATATATCATCCATATGCTGATGACCCCCAAATTCGTACCACCAACACAAATTTCTCTTCTGAGCTCCAAGTTCTTATATATAAGTTGTTAATCAAACATTTCCATTTGGATATAGCAATGATACCTAAGTTAGTCTGTCTAAAACAGATTTCTCTATTCCACCATCTCCTCTCGCTAAATCTGTTCTTCCTCCCGTTTTCTTCATCTCAGTAACTGGTACCACTCTCCACCCAATTGCTCAACCAGAAAACCTGAAAATCCCTGATTCCTCCTTATCCCTTATTCCCTTCTAATTCATTAAGTCTTTCTGATTTCACTTCCAAAATTATATCTTAATCTGTTTACTTCTCTCCATCTCCATCACCACCACACTCTTTGAATATACCATCATCTCTCACCTGGGTTACTGCAATAATCCTCCAACCAGCTATCTTCACTCTACCATCACCCAATTAACTCTCTACATAGCAGTGGAAGTGAACTTTTAAAATAAAAAAGGGGGGCGCCTGGGTGCCTCAGTCATTAAGCACCTGCCTTCCACTCGGGCGGTGATCCCAGAGTCCTGGGATTGAGCCCCACATCAGGTTCCCTGCTCCACGGGGAGTCTGCTGCTCCTTCTCCCTCTCATGCTGCTTGTGTTCCCTTTCTTGCTGTCTCTCTCTGTCAAATAAAATAAAATCTTTAAAATCAAAGAGGATTTTGGGATTCCATGCTTAAAATCTTTCAATGACTTCTACTGCACTCAGAATAAAATTGCACTCAAACCCCTTACGACCCTGCTCAAAGGCTCCAGCCTACAACTTCAACCTCATCTCTTGCTACTTTCCCCTCTTACTCATTGTGCTGCAGCCACATTCGCCTTTTTTCCTTTCCTGGCTTTATACTAACTCAGAGCTTTTTTTTTTTTTTTTTAAGACATTATTTATTTATTTGACAGACAGAGATCACAAGTAGGCAGAGAGGCAGGCACAGAGAGAGGAGGAAGCAGGGTCCCTGCTGAGCAGAGAGCCTGATTCGGGGCTCAATCCCAGGACCCTGGGATCATGACCTGAGCTGAAGGCAGAGGCTGTAACCCACTGAGCTACCCAGGCGCCCCCTTCAGAACTTTTGTAAATTGTTTCCCATACTTTGAACGTTATTCCTCTCATTCTCTGCATACTGGCTCCTTATCACACCTTTCTGGGCTCATCTTCTCACCCCCTCCAAGAGGTGAGCCATCCAATGAAAATCAGACTCAATCTTTTTCCCCTTGCTAACCTTATCTGTTGAATGAAGGTAGACATCCATTTTAATTCTGTGGTTTCCAATCCAATTCTAACGCATATTCAACGTGCCATCCCAACAGGCTGCAAAGTGGCAGGAAAGTGTTTTGTTTGTTTGTAATGTAACACTGAACTTGAGGGAGGAGACTTGGGACCTGCTGTGACCTGCTTAAGGAAGCCACCATCAGGTTAGTCTCAACCTAGAAAAATAGCAGGTAGTACTACTCAATCTGTAATGTACTTTCCAGCCTGAAGAAAGTTTGAGGCTGCCAATTCAGCCAAGATTCTCAGGGGGCCTCTAAACACTTGAGGCAACACAATTACGTACGGACTTGCGGCACAACGCCTCATACAGTCACCACCGCCACCTGCTGGTCAAAGCCATTTTCACGTTTCCGGGGAAAGCCCTTAACAAAAGTAGAAGCTGTGTTTAGCACTACTCATTTAACGTGCAAATCTCAAGTCTCCCAATGGCTCTCCGTGGCAAGGACTATATGATCCCCATTTTTACGGGGAAGAAAACTGGCCGGTCCGAGACGTGAACCCACATCAGCCACCATAGCCCAGTGCTTTTAACCATTATACTAGTTCAAACTAAACTCAACCGCACATGAGGTGTTAAATCCCCGACGGTCTGGAAACTGGGAAGATGGGCTTTTAAACTACTTTCAACCAAGAGCCGAACGGACTCCTGCAGTGATGGAGGGCGGGCGGCAGCGACCCGGCCAGGCCCAGGCCCGGGGCGCACGGGAAGGCGCGAGGGCGGCGCTCAAGGGAGACCCTCGTCCGGCCGCAGCACCGCCGCGAGGGAGCCGAGCCGGGTCCAGTCCGAGGGCGGGCGCGGTGGGGCCCTGAGAGGCGCGGGCCGGGGTCTCCGCTGGGGGCAAGCTCCCCTGCGACTCTCTCCCGAAGGAGGGGAAGCACTCCCGGGCGCCCCTACCCCCAAAGAGGTGGGCAAGACCCACCTGCACGGGGAGCCCCGTCAGGGTAGCGCGGCGCAGCCAGAGCCGGTCTCCTCCGAGGGCCTATGGGCTCAAATGGGCGCTGCGGACGGCGGCTGCCGAAGGCCAAAAGTAGTCCTGTCAGGGCACGGCGCGCGCAAAGCGCGGGGTCGAGGAGCTGGCTGACCTGCGAAGGAGGTCATAGGATTCTCGCTTTTGCTCCGGGCTCCCTCACCTGTCCTGTGGTTGCGCAGTTCTGCGGCAGTGGGTCAGATCCTGCGACGACCAATTCTGACCTACTCGATTTGAGCCAGGTTCCGGGCACAGCCTCCACCCCCACCCCGCGAAAAGGGAAAATACTAATTCATTATTTGTTGAAGTGGAGAAGACCCGGTACTAGTTCCAGAAGCTCTCAGTGGAATCCTAATTGAAAAGGTAAATAGCAATCGAGGCCATAAATAACAGCAACACACTACAGCCCAGCACCAACTGGTAGCCAAAAGCTGTTGGCTTTGTGCATTGTTTTTTGACTAATGAAAAGGTACAGGCATGCAGGGGGCTTGGCATTGTAGACCAGGGGCTTCCTGGAGGGCTTCAGGAACATGAGACAGGTGGTCATACGTTGCAGCAGCAAGGTAGGTGATACCTCAGAGAGAAGGAAGGGCCCAACGAGCCTGTGGGCCCCTTGGCATTTCCCTTACCATGAACTAAAAAGAGGCCGGATACAGGTTGAGAATACGAGTTCAACCCTGCAGGTAATCGGTAGTTACTAAGAATTATGAGTAGGGATGCAGTAAGATGAGGATTGTATTTTGAGACAAGTAATATGGATTCCCTTGGAGAGAAACCAGAGCTGGAGGCAGGGACTCCAATTAGGTGACTAACAGTCCAGGTACCAGGTGATGACAGCCTGGATTAATATAGCGACAGTGACTATAAAGGAAAACTGGACAGGCTCTTGTGACTTATGAAGGTTAACAGTTGAAGAGGGAGGTGAAAAAAAATCAGATGGATTTTTTTATGTTGACTGAGGGAATTACGGCATTTTCAAATAAAAATGTTCTGCCAGCAGCTAAAGAACTTAGACCTGTTATCTGCGATTCAAAACTTTGGTTTAATGCGGAAGTTCCACCATGTTTTTGCTGGCTACACCTCCAAAGATGGTGAATTGGTTCAGTTATTTTATGACTGAGCCCCAAATCACTGTGACACAAGCCTAGATTTCCTTTTTGGGTGGACTAGAGGGTTTTGAAGTCAGGACAGAAGACCATTCACACTCTTCCTGTGTATTAAGTACTTACCAAGCATTTCTGGAGCATCTTAGCGCAACAGTGGATGAGCTCTGAGGGCAAGTAAACAGGGTGGAAAATGGAACCTTAGAATATACCTCAAATTAGGGAATGAGGCAGAAATGTCACTGATGGGAATGCTCTGGAAGAAATCTAGACCAAAAGCGTAAGGCAGTTCCAAGCAGGACAGAATTTAAAAAATGAAAAGTACAGGGGTGCCTGGGTGGCTCAGTTAAGCCTTCAACTCTTGATTTTGGCTCAGGTCATGACCTCAGGATGTGAGACCGAACCCCTCGTCTGGCTCCACGCTGGACGTGGGACTTCCTTAAGATTCTCTCTTGGGGTGCCTGAGTGGCTCAGTGGCTTAAAGCTTCTGCCTTCGGCTTAGGTCATGATCCCAGGGTCCTGGGATTGAGTCCCACATTGCGCTCTTTGCTCCACAGGGAGACTGCTTCCTCCTCTCTCTGTCTACCTCTCTGCCCACTTGTGCTGTCTGATAAATAAATAATCTAAAAAAAAAAAAAAAAAAATTCTCTCTCCCTCTCCCTCTGCTCCCCCCAAAAATAAATTAAAAAATTTTTTTAAAAATTAAAATTAGGGACGCCTGGGTGGCTTAGTTGGTTAAGTGTCTTCTTTTGGCTCAGGTCATGATCCCAGGGTCCTGGGATCGAGTCCCACATCGGTCTCCTTGCTTAGCAGGTAGCCTGCTTCTCCCTCTGCCTTCCACTCCCCCTGCCTGTGCTGTCTCTGACAAAAAAAAAGAAAAAAAAAACAAAACACTCTTCTGTTTACACATCTCTTAATTCTTTCACTTTATTTTGTAACTGCCAGTTTCAGCTTCTACGTAAGTACTTAAAGGCAATTATTTCGTCCTGTCCAATTTTATATCCCCAGGTCCTATCAGTGTCTGATTTTATATATATATATATGTATATACATATATATATAATCACATATATACATGTGATTATATATATAATCACACAATATTATATATATGTATATACATGCATGTATATACATATATATATATAATCACACAATATTATATATATTAGATACACAGATGTCTGTTTGTTAAATATATTATCAAATGTGACTGAGGACAGAAAATGAAGACAGATAAAAAGCAAGTGGAGACACTGAAGTAGAGGCATTTTGGTATTAGTACCCACCCCCTGATCTCATAAAAGTCCCTTTCAGTGCCTGGACAAAAACAAACTTGGATGGACCTGCTTTCATAGGTCATACTGAATGTGTGCTTTTTTTATGGGACAGGTTATCAGGCAGCATGACTGTTACTTTAAGAAAATGTCCCCAAAGGGACAAAGGACAAAAAGAAAATGAGTTGGTTCACTTAGCATTAAGATAAATCCTCAAAAACAGGAGCAAAAGCCATGCACAGGTTCAGAATAACTCACTGAACTGTCCTCTAATTCATAAATGTAGGATTCAGGATACATAAATGTAGGATTCAGAAGTGGATTCAAGGAATCCACACTCTTACAACAGAAAACACATTAGAGACCGTCACAGCCCCAGGTTGAGTCCAAAAACAACTATTTATCCTAGAATATACTTGAAACATGTTGAAGTACAATTTTTTAAAAAACTAGCCACTATAAAAAGGTTTTCTTTTATTGGAAATACTTTTTGTTCCAACTTGGGAACTGAGGAACGTATCTTCCTTCTTCTTCAACCCTGTAAATGGGAAAAGGAGCTACCCTTACCATCTGCCACACAACTTGAACTCTCAAATACCCTCATGGTCCCAGCAAAATTAACAAATTACCATTTTCTTGTGCTTAACTCCCCCCACCTCCCATCTTTCTAATCTCAGGAAGGGTAGGGGTTGGGAATGGGCTGCAGACAAAAAAAAAAAAAAAAAAAAAAGAAAGAAAAAGGAAAAAAAAAGGAAAAGGATGAGGTCCTCACGGTAGTGCTATTCCTGCGGAAATGAGGCACAGATACCACAGCACTAAGTTTTATTAGGGATTTCATTAAGGTTAAACCTCTAGAAATGAGGGAGTCAGTTCAGGAGCACAAAGTTGATGAAGCCACCTCAGATCTCATAATGAACCACTGGCTCAGGCTCTTTGGTGGGATCACCGCCTCGTTCCAGGTACAGATTATTATAAGGATACTGCTTTGGCCCCTAAGGAAAAAACACAGGTCAGCAAGATAGCATACATCCCAGTCAATACCTGGCTATACCCCACTCTGAGTTAACAATCACACATGGCAAATGGGTACAAGGTAGCCTTTGGTCGGACCCAGCTGGGCTGGAACAGCAGGAACTGCACTCCTCTTCCCTAATCAGCCCAAGGCAGAGAGAAAGCCTAGATTGTAAGAGAAGTGGTGCCTACACTGTGTGCGCGTGCGTGAGAGTGTGTGTGTTAGAGAGCGAGAGAGCGAGAGAGAGAGAGAGAGAGAGAGAGAAAAGGAGAGAGAAAAGGAGGGAGGGAGGGAGGGAGGGTAAGTGCTTTCTAAATGAGACGATGCATCCATCCATCCCACTCTCTCCTGGGGTCTAGACAGACTCAATCTCCTTTAAGTCACTCAGCCTCTAATGGTTCCACCACTAAAGTGGCCCAGCAAATGAGGCGTGCAGGAGCAGCGGTGGGGGAAAGCACAGAGGAGACACGGCTGGGACGTGCTTTAGGGGCTGCTGGCTTTACCAACAAACAGCTGTCAGAGAACACAGCTCAAGGGGAGGAGAAAAGGGTGATGTGCTTACAGAACTGAAAAACGGAAGAGCCACACTGTGTTTCTTGCTCTCCTGAAGTGAAGTTAGTGCTCACACCAGCCCTATGTGCACTCTCCAGCCTGGAGCCCCTGGGGCTTGGTAGGAAGGCTCATGTCAGTGCACACCGACATGCCAGCTACCATCAGGACACTGATTATCTCTGCAGAGGTAGCACTGAGCAGCCAACTGAAAACACGACAGTCTTCCTACTTTCAGTTCCTTCCTACACCATCTACCCTGTAGACAACTCCCAGATTAATCATCCTAAAATCCTAACCTTCATCATGTCATTTCTGTTCAAAAACTCAACATAGTTCCCTTCTGCCTAGAGGCAGACCAGTCATCACTGGATCCCCAACCCCCAGCACAATCTGTTATCTGGTATATAGTTGGTCTTCATAAATATTTGAATGAATGTCTTACTATACCACTGAGTCCAAATCCCTAACTTCACAGTCAAAGCATCCCAACCTAAATGACCAACTCAACTCACGGTATTTTTTTTTAACATGGCGATTTCCACACCTAATTTCCCAGAACATGAAAATTACCTGGGAACTTGTTAAATACTGATGCTAGAACCCCACCATGGAGCTACTGAACCAGGAGTCTGAATTTTTACAGCTCTCGAGGTAACCAATATAGCTAGTTATCTAGGAATACTGTATGCCCCTATTCCATTCCAGCTAACTAACTCTCCTTCTCCTTCCTTCATTCTATTTTCTCTTGCTCCAAATGTTCCCTCCAGCTTCTGCCCACCATCCAAAGTCTATACATATTTTTAGTATCTAGCATGATCCTTCTTTTCAACAGGACCACATACCTCTTAATACACAGGTTCACTACATACATAAAACTGCCACCACATTCTTGTATCTCCATTCAAATGTTACTCGTTGTGTCATTTATCTATATCTTCTTCTTATCCAAATCAAACTTCCTTAAAGCTAGACAATATATTTTCCACATCCTTTACGCTCTCCAGGATAAAACTGTCTGTGCTCGTAGTAAACCAACTGCTTCCATACCTTGTAGGACCTAGTGTCCTTCACACCTCCAGCAAAGAATAAGGTTTCAGCTCCAGATTCCTTGACTCTACCTTGAAAGATCACTTGCCAAAATATAACTGGTAAGTAAAGTCCCCAAATGGCAACTCTAGAAGACTAGTTGACTTACACATTCTCATTTCTCATCTAGTCCTAAACTGTTTCTTCTCACTCAGACTGACCCAAGAAGTAGGCATGGAGCAGTGCTCTGAGACTTGTGCCAGGTCAATGGGTGAGGCCTTCTACAGGCCTTAACAGGAAGCCAAGTGTGTATTGGCTGGATCCCTACTACAGAGACTTCATTCCCTCAGGAAACAGCACTCAGTAAATGTACCTACCAGAGCACTTCTCAGATACTCACCACAGGCTGGTAGGTGGGGTAAGTCTCCCCAACCCAAAACATGAACACCATGAAGGCCACGAAGCCAAAGAGGTGCTTACACATGACATTCCAGGAAACAGGTGTGGGGGATGTGTCCACACGGTTCCTGATATACATGTCAAGGTCCCAGTGTATCTGAGGCAGAAAAACAGTTCAATGTCAAATTCTGCTCGTCCTACAAAAAGGTGATCAGAGCCTGATACAAGGTTTGATAAAGGTACTCTACTGCCCCAGAGCAATATTCTGCAAATCAAGTGTGAGCTACTCTACTACAGAGGTCTAGGTGCTGGCTTAAGCCTAGGTTCTGCTGATCAAAGACTGCATGGCAGTTCATAATTTTCAAAGTACAGAGCTCTGATTATTTACAGAAGTCTCATTCCATGAACCACACATGGAACCTCAGACCTCGGATCACTGGATCTTGCTTTCTTAGGCATAAAACCTTACTGTTGCTTAGATAGCAAAATGCCATTTAAGCTAAAGAAAGAATCCTCACGAAGATATTAGGGAGAAGGAAGAAAGGTCAAATGAGATATGCATCTCTTACCGGTTCACCCCAATTCAACCTCAGGTCTGAGTGGTCCCAGTTATACCACGGATCCCTCTCCTGCTGTGAGCGATCAGGGAGCTTTGGGTAGTCGCCATACCTGAGAGACAGAAAAACTTCTGGAAGGGGCTTTGAGCAGCATCACTCAGTCAATTCAAAGTACCCTCATGTTAAGAGATGAGCAACCAAGTGTCACATAACTGCCTCACCTAAGGACAGAGAAACCCACTTTCAAATTAAGATCTCAGTTTATAGTCACTAAGTACAGAACTAATCACAGAAGTCCAAAGTGTAAGTAAAAGATCATGTCAAACTCTCAAACATTTTAACATACATGATAACATACATGCTTTTCTTACCTTCTTTCAATAACAGTCATGCAATGTTATAATGTTAGAGCTGGAAAGGGATTTAGCAATCAATCACTTAGATTCCCTCATTAGACAGAAAATGAAACTGAAGTTTAGTTTGAACCCAAGGTCACCCAGCTAATTGGTATACAAACAAAAGGGGTTCAGATTAGGAAAGCATTCTCTTCATAGCAAATGTGCTCCCCAACCACCGAGTTAACATACATCTCCATGTTTCAAACACCTCATGGGACTTCCTGATAAGCTGAGTTTTCCCCCAACAAATCCAGTTTCAACTTTTATAGACTGCTACCAAGGCTACAATTGTCCACAACAAAGAGACATAGGAAATGATGACAACTAGTCATGTGTCACAGAAAATGACTGGAAAACAAGAAGAAGAATAGGAGCTGCTAAAACCACTACTGAAAGAGTGATGCTAGGAAAGAAAACGAGGGTGACCGTAATCACTTCAGATAATTAACCGCAAGGCTGTTATGTAAGGGAGGGGGTAACATCAACTGGAGTAGGGAAGTTGGCTCTTTAATCTGCTTGACAGTTACTTCAACTCCACAGCCCTAACAGCAAAGAAATTTTTTAAAAGAAAGATATACACATGAACACAGAGTATCCTATCTACAAATAAGGCTCTCAAGACTGGAGTCCAGCTTCAGCGTGATCACGTGCCTGGATGACAGCACCTGAGCCCAGCAGATGCTCAATCTAAATGAAACCTCGCACTCTGGTTGAAGCCAAGGAAAGTTCCTGCTATTCAGGGGTCCTCAAGGGAGCTATTAAAATCTCGGCTTCCTCATTTGAGGAAACAGCCTGAGCCAAGGAGAAAATTGAAGTCCTCTAGGCTGCAGCTGCTCACCCATCACCTCCCACCTCCCTCCACCGAGAAAGGCATCCACACCATTGACTCTGAGGGGTCACGAGAAGGTTCAGGGAAAATGGTCAGAGTCGAGCCACCCAACCCAGCTGGCTATGTCGCATCACTACCCAGCTGCAAGCAAACTCTGCATCTCACCCCATGCCATCATCCGGGTATGGTTCGTAGTCTTCTACCCGCATATTATATTTCTTGGCGGCAGCGGCCCGTTCTTCCGGGGTTTTGGGATAGGGTCCCGGGAGCATGTCCTTCGTAATGTGCGAAGCTAGAGAGCAGAAAAGGGCGGGTCAGGAAAGACCCTGTCCTTCCTGCCGCCCTGAGGGCTTCAAGCTGCGGTGGCTGCGGCGGCCCGGGCTTCAAAGGACCAGTAAGATTCTTGACCCCCTTTTCTGGGTATACTAACTCCCAACCACCACCGCCCCGTCGCCGGACATGGCCACCGCAGTACCCGCAATACCCGCCCCCTCCAACTATCGACACACCAAACCTCAGGCACCTCCACATTCAAGCCTCGCCCGTTCTCACGGACCTGTCCGTGCACCCAAGGGCACCACGGTCCGGGTAGCCCTTTGCAGCCATCGGACTCCCAGGACCCGCGCCCTGGCCGCCGCCATCTTCACCTTCCTCTCAGTTGACCCTGCACATGCGCAAAGGCCTTACCACGGCGGCTGAGCGGGGCCAAAAGCGACGAGGGAAGCCGAGAGCGAAGGAAAGTCTTTGGGCTCCCCATAAGGGCGGGGCTTAAGTCGTTTTGGGAAGCCGCGGGGAAGATGAGAGGCTGGATAGAGGCAGAGAGGGAAAGTGGAAAGGAGAGAAAATCAAACAGGTCACTACTTTGACATTTCATATTGTTGTATCCCTTTCTCCGTCAGCTGACTTAGACACTTCCAAGGATAATGGGGACACAGAACGGGAGCATCTCAGGTGGACAGCTAACTTACCTCCCGCAGGTGCAGTACAAATCAAACAAGCCTGTCTTACTTTCTTTGACTGCTTGTCTGTTTCCTCTCCTTCACTGGCAGTTCCTCCTTTCATCCCCAAACGTGATCATTCTTCAAATTCAGCCCCTGGTCTTTCTTGCTCTTGTTTTGCAAATTGGTTGATCTCCTTCACGTAGAGGAATGATGCAACACACAAATCACCCCAAATTCTCTTCTCAGTTTTACTCCATATTTATATTTGAATATCCCAGTCACCTCAACCCAACAAATGTAAAACCAATCCTAGCACCTAAAGCAGCTCTCCCCAGACTGGCTAAAGCCTCAGATTGGCGAGGACTTGTAAAGATTTCAAGCTGGACCACAGTTAACAAAACTAGCTTAAAGAAGAATGGGGGATATTATCAGGTTTACATATGAATATATTTTCATTTTTACATAAAGAGCGTTTGCATAATTTACACAATATAAATGTACACATATTTCCAGCGACTTTTAGGGTGATGACTGTTTTGGTGCAGAATCTATTATTACAGACATTCTCAAATATATATTAGACCAATAAAAATTATGTATCCTACTTGGCATATAAATTTGGAGGAAGGGATGCCTGGTGGCTCAGTCAGTTAAGCCGCTGCCTTCAGCTCGGGTCATGATCCCAGGATCCTGGGATCAAGTCCCACATCGGGCTCCTTGCTCAGTGGGGAGTCTGCTTCTCTCTCTGCCTCTCCCTGCCCCTCTGCCTGCATTTGCTCTCTCTCTCTCTCTCTCTCTCTCTCTCTCTCTGACAAATAAATAAATAAATAAATAAAATCTTAAAAAACAAGCAAACAAAAAACCCCCAAGTTATCTCCAAGATCTTTAAAAAAAATAAATAAATTTGGAGGAAGACTACCTAACAGCAACTTGCCCTCTTGTAAATAAGCATCACTAGTTCATGTTCAAAATAATTGTACAATATCTGCATTCAATCAATAGCAAGCCCTGATCTAATTTGGATTAAGAAACAGTGTTGGCCTAATTTACTTACTATTATCAAGATATAATTCACATACCATAAAAATCATCACTTTAAAGTGTACAATAAGGTGATTTTTAGCATATTTACAAAGTTGTGTAATTATCTCCACTAATTCTAAATAGTTTTCACTACCCCCGAAAGAACCCCCATCTCTATTAGTGTATTTCCCTTACCCCTAGACCCTGGCAATCACTAATCTACTGTCTGTATGGATTTGCCTATTCTGGAAACTTCATATAAAGAGTTTCATGCGATATGTAACCTTTTGTGTCCGACTTACTTCTCTTAGCATAATATTTTTAAGGTTTGTCCGTGTTGTAGCATGTGTCAGTTTTCATTCCTTTGTATGACCAAATAATATTCTATTATATTGACATACAACTTTCTGTTCATACACTCATCAGTTGATGGACATTAGGTATTTCCACTTTGGGCTATCATAAATAATGTTGCTGTGAACATTCTTATACAACTTTTTGTGTGGATGTATGTTTTCAATTCTCTTCAGTATATTGCTAGCAGTAGAACAGCTGGATCAAGAAAGAAAGAAAGAGAGAAAGAAAGAAAAGAGGGGGAGGAAGGGAGGAAGAAAAAAAGAGAAAGGAAAGGAAAGATAGAAAAAGAAAGAAAAGAAAAAAGGAAGAAGAGAAAGAATTGCTGGATCATAGGATAACTCTATGTTTAACTTTCTGCAGAACTATAAAACTTTTTCAAAGAAGCTGCACCATTTTACATTCCCACCAGCAGCATACGAGCTTTCCAATTTTTCTGCATTCTCGTGGCTGTGAGTGGTATCTCATTGTGGTTTTGATTTGCATTACCTTGATGACTAAAGATGTTGAGCCTCTTTTCATGTGTTTATTGACCATGGTATCTTCTTTGGAGAATTGTCTACTCAAGTCTTTCATCTGAATTGGTTTGACTTTCTATTGCTTAGTTGTAAGAATTCTTTATATAGTCTAGATACAAGTCACTTATCAGCTATATACTTTGTAAATATTTTCTCCCATTCTATGGATTATATCTTTTGTCTAGGTCTTCAGAGCAACCTTTCCCCAACATCTATCAGTCTGACAATTGCTTTTCCTTCTGATTTCTTAGGTCAAGAGTTTGCTTCTCTCCCCATCCACGACTGTACAGTTTAATGCCCCGCTAAACTGGCCTCCTTTCTCTGCTTCTTGTGTAGGCCTGGGCACACTGACGCAGCAATAATAACTTGGTGTATTGGTTAACCAGGTGATCAGTGGGTCTAACCTCTGCGCCCCAAGACTTCACAGGCCGAGCTTAGGGTGTAAAGCTGTAGGTCACCATGAGGAGGCGCTCCCCCACGCCCCGGTTCCGCGTTCTTTGTGTCTCTGGACCGCTCTCGCGTGCGTCCATCTCTATGGTTTCCGTTGTGTTTTGTCCGGAATGGGCGGAGCTTCCGGTTCCGGTGGGGCCGGCTGTAGCGACGGAGATGGCGGCGGCAGCGGCGACGGCGACGGAGGCTGTGGCCTCCGGCTCTGGAGAACCCCGAGAGGAGGCCGAAGCTTCGGGCCTCGCCTGGGATGAGTCCCAGCTGCGTAGTTATAGCTTTCCGACCCGGCCCATCCCCCGTCTGAGTCAGAGCGACCCCCGGGCGGAGGAGCTTATCGAGAATGAGGTAGGAGGCGGGGCCCGGTCTGAAGGGGAGGCGGGGAGGGACCAGGTTGAGAGGAGAGGTCACAGGCGAATGATGATTCAAGTGGGGGACTGTCAGGGCTGTGGATTAGGGCCTAAGGGAGAGTGGAGAGGGAGACGAGGAGAAATGGAACTTAAAGGAGTTTGTGCTTGTTCACAAGAAAGTATTCACAAGTAGGGAAGTGGTTGGAGTCATGGGATAAGAATCCACCAGCTTCTTGGGATGACTTCATTTGTTTTTTTCACTTGTTGTTTTCACTTAGGAGCCTGTGGTGCTGACAGACACAAATCTTGTGTATCCTGCTCTGAAATGGGACCTCGAATACCTGCAGGAGAACATTGGCAACGGAGACTTCTCTGTGTACAGTGCCAGCACCCACAAGTTCTTGTACTATGATGAAAAGAAGATGGCCAATTTCCAGAACTTTAAGCCCAGGTCCAACAGGGAGGAAATGAAATTTCACGAGTTTGTTGAGAAACTGCAGGATATACAGCAGCAAGGAGGGGAAGAGAGGTAAGTTCCCAGATTGTGGCTTCCCATTGAATCTAGAGCATTCTTTTTCCTGTCTTGTAATTGTTTGAGCATATGGAGGAGTTGGGTGAGCTCCCTAGTTTGAGAGATGAGAGAATGATTAGACTTGAATTGTCACTCTTTCATTCTTTGTTGTCTTCACAAAGTGACAGTCACAGTTGCCTAGAAGGGTTAAGTAGGTGAGTAAAACGAGACGTTGTCTGGGTGAAAACGACAATGAAGCTGAAAGCATGTGCCATGTTCAGAGTGAGAAGTCCTTACTTGACTCTTGTTTCCAGTTAGGAGTGCGGTCCCTGGGTTGCCAGATACTTTCATTTTCAAGAGAAGCCAGAAATTAGGATTTTTTTTTTTTAAGTTTTTATTTATTTACTTGACAGACAGAGATCACAAGTAGGCAGGGAGGCAGAGAGAGAGGAGGAAGCAGGCTCTCTGTAGAGCAAAGAGCCTGATTCGGGGCTCGATCCCAGAACCCTGGGATCATGACCTGAGCCGAAGGCAGAGGCTTTAACCCACTGAGCCACCCAGGCACCCCAGAAACTGGGATTTTTATTTAAAATTTTTTTGACCTCAGCAGCTAACTCAAATTTTTAAAAAAGCTGCGGGGTACCAAACAAAACCAGCTGTCATTGGATTTAGCTTGAGATTGCCAGTTTGCACCCTGTGTCCTAAAATATTGGGCTGGCTGGGGACAATTAAAGCTAAAAAATTTTTATAGATTGTTGTGATTCTTGGCTGAAGGGTGTCAGGGTCCCCTAGATTAGGGGAGATCGGATTCGGTTGCTACGGAGTTGCACATTATACTAGAGATGGCAAATACAAGACGCACTCAGAAGTGACTCTTCTTCTGTGCTTTCATCTTCATATGCGAGGCCAGCATATAAAGACCTACCTACCTCGGTAGGTCCCAGACAGCATTCAGTTCTACACTGTAACATTGCTTCTGGGGAATTGCTTTCGCTGAGTACTTCATGGTGAATGACCATCTCCATCTCACACTTGGTGCCCAACCCTGGGCTTCCTTTAGTCTCCTGCCTCAGTTCTTTTCCTGACTCTGTTAGCAGCCTATGGCTGCATGAATGGATTTGAAATATCTTTTTTTGTGTTTGTATGTCTTCCTGACACTTAGTGGTTATCACAGTGCTAGAACTTTGACCAAAAAGAGTTTCCAGGGTTACAGCTGTGATTGATGAGTTCTTTATGTCTTAAAAAGACTAGTGTAAGTCATCTTCTGCTTAAGTTTCCTCAAATTTAACATAGCATGTACATGTGTATGTGTACACATCCCCAGGGTTGCGAGAGAGGGGTCGATTTAAATGGTGCTGGTGGAGTGTAATTCCATTGCATGAACATTTGTGCTGGAAGGAGCATGAGATGAGACACCTGAGTCCTGATTCCTCAATCACTTCAAGTTTCTTACCTCCTATAAGGAGAGCAGTTTGCCTTATTAAGTACAAGTTATGAGTGTAGTTTTTATGAGTGATTCAAGAAAAATCTTTTCCTATGCACGAGTTTTGCCTGACCAGCTTACTTTACCACCGACCAATTCCACTTTGGAATTGTACGGGTTGTTACGATTCAAGGAGTTCTATAATTTCTCTTTGAGCTCTTTTGACCATTTACTGTTCTGATGTAATAGGAGTTGTTTGGATTCATGTTTGGTGAGTGTTCTGCCTCTTTCAAAGTTACTTGACAAAATTTTTGTATGATATATTTTATAATTTCTGAGGAAAGGTTGCATTTGAGTCTTGAGGGTTCTTTGTCCCCCAAAAGGTAGCTAGTGTTTAAAACTTACCAAGATTTCTAGTTAATATTGCCTTAAACATCCTGATTCTAGGCACTGAGATACTTTTGAGCCATTTGAAGTAACATTCTTGGGACTAGAACAGGGCTGCTTTTGTGTTTTGTCTTCGTGTTTGCCCTTTTATTGATGTCCCCTGTGGGACTTGAGCACGTGTCTGGGTTTTCACATCCCTTAGGTAATTTCTGATGTTCCTCCGTGATTGGGTCTACAGAAAGCCTGATGAGTCTTTCAGCTGTAGAAGGCTGCTACAGAGAGGTGGCTGAATTAGTTAAGATAAACAAGCCAGAGGCAGTGACTTGAAACAACAAAGGTTTATAACAACAACAGTCGTGCTACATGTCCATCCATGTCCATTGTAGGTCACATGAAGGCTCTACTCTTATGTCATCTTCCTTACTTTGGGACCCAGCAGCTACTATCTGAAACCTTGCAGTTGATTAGCAGAGGGAGAGAGATGTGGTGGCAGTGAGTACTGCTTCTTCAAATTACAGTTTGGAAGCGACATAAGTCATATTTGTGGACATATCATTGGTTAAAGCAAGTTGAATAAGCAAGCTTGGCTTCAAGGGGATATAGGAGAATTAACTCTCCCACAGGGAGGGAACTAGATCTTGGTGAACAGTAATACAGTCTAACATAAAGGCCATCGAGGGCCAAAGAGGATGTCTGAAGCTCTGAGAGTTTCTAGAGAAAGGCTGAATAATCATTTTAGACTCTGAATAGGTGTTGAGGAATCTGAAATTGTGTGAAAGTTCTGTGTGTATGTACATTTTTATGGAAACATTCCTTGGATTCTTAGATTTATGCTGTGACCCAGAAAAGGTTAAGAATAATTTCTTTTAGGGGCACCTGACTGGCTCAGTTGGTAGAGCATTCAACTCTTGATCTTGGTCTAGATCTTGATCAAGATCTTGATCTAATGATACTATATGTGGAAAACCCAAAAGACTCCACTCCAAAACTGCTAAAACTTGTACAGGAATTCAGTAAAGTGTCGGGATATAAAATCAATGCACAGAAATCAGTTGCATTTCTCTACACCAACAACAAGACAGAAGAAAGAGAAATTAAGGAGTCCATCCCATTTACAATTGCACCCAAAACTATAAGATACCTAGGAATAAACCTAACCAAAGAGACTAAGAATCTATACACAGAAAACTATAAAGTACTCATGAAAGAAATTGAGGAAGACACAAAGAAATGGAAAAATGTTCCATGCTCCTGGATTGGAAGAATAAATATTGTGAAAATGTCTATGCTACCTAAAGCAATCTACACATTTAATGCAATTCCTATCAAAGTACCATCCATTTTTTTCAAAGAAATGGAACAAATAATCCTAAAATTTATATGGAACCAGAAAAGACCTCGAATAGCCAAAGCAATATTGAAAAAGAAAGCCAAAGTTGGTGGCATCACAATTCCGGACTTCAAGCTCTATTACAAAGCTGTCATCATCAAGACAGCATGGTACTGGCACAAAAACAGACACATAGATCAATGGAACAGAATAGAGAGCCCAGAAATAGACCCTCAACTCTATGGTCAACTAATCTTCGACAAAGCAGGAAAGAATATCCAATGGAAAAAAGACAGCCTCTTCAACAAATGGTGTTGGGAAAATTGGACAGCCACATGCAGAAAAATGAAATTGGATCATTTCCTTACACCACACACGAAAATAGACTCAAAATGGATGAAGGATCTCAATGTGAGAAAGGAATCCATCAAAATCCTTGAGGAGAACACAGGCAGCAACCTCTTTGACCTCAGCTGCAGCAACATCTTCCTAGGAACATCGCCAAAGGCAAGGGAAGCAAGGACAAAAATGAACTATTGTGATTTCATCAAGATCAAAAGCTTTTGCACAGCAAAGGAAACAGTTAACAAAACCAAAAGACAACTGACAGAATGGGAGAAGATATTTGCAAATGACATATCGGATAAAGGGCTAGTGTCCAAAATCTATAAAGAACTTAGCAAACTCAACACCCAAAGAACAAATAATCCAATCAAGAAATGGGCAGAAGACATGAACAGACATTTCTGCAAAGAAGACATCCAGATGGCCAACAGATACATGAAAAAGTGCTCCACATCACTCGGCATCAGGGAAATACAAATCAAAACCTCAATGAGATATCACCTCACACCAGTCAGATTGGCTAAAATTAAGAAGTCAGGAAATGACAGATGCTGGCGAGGATGCGGAGAAAGGGGAACCCTCCTACACTGTTGGTGGGAATGCAAGCTGGTGCAGCCACTCTGGAAAACAGCATGGAGGTTCCTCAAAAAGTTGAAAATAGAACTACCCTATGACCCAGCAATTGCACTACTGGGTATTTACCCTAAAGATACAAATGTAGTGATCCGAAGGGACACGTGCACCCAAATGTTTATAGCAGCAGTGTCTACAATAGCCAAACTATGGAAAGAACCTAGATGTCCATCAACAGATGAATGGATAAAGAAGATGTGGTATATATACACAATGGAATACTATGTAGCCATCAAAAAAAATGAAATCTTGCCATTTGTGACTACGTGGATGGAACTAGAGGGTATCATGCTTAGCGAAATAAGTCAATCGGAGAAAGACAACTATCATATGATCTCCCTGATATGAGGAAGTGGAGATGCAACATGGGGAGTTAAGGGGGTAGGAGAAGAATAAATGAAACAAGATGGGATTGGGAGGGAGACAAACCATAAGTGACTCTTAATCTCACAAAACAAACTGAGGGTTGCTGGGGGGAGGGGGCTTGGGAGAGGGGGGTGGGGTTTTGGACATTGGGGAGGGTATGTGCTATGGTGAGTGCTGTGAAGTGTGTAAACCTGGCGATTCACAGACCTGTACCCCTGGGGATAAAAATACATTATATGTTTATAAAAAAAATAAATTAATTAATTAAAAAAAAAGATCTTGATCTAGATCTTCAGATCTCATATTTGGTATAGAGTTTATTTATTTATTTATTTATTTTTAAAGGAATCTTTAAAATAGCAAGTTTGGTGTTGAACAGAGCTCATAGGACAGGCAAGGATTCAGTTCTGTGAGAATCTCTCTTGGTTGACACTTGCATGGCTGCAGCTGGTCTCTGTGGGAGGTGCTGGTGTGGATTTGGATTTCCAGATGTAGGGAGGCCATGCCAAGGGACTGTGTATGTGCACTAATGGGATTTTATTCTCGGGAAATGTAGGTTGTATCTGCAGCAAACACTCAATGACACTGTGGGCAGGAAGATCGTCATGGACTTCTTGGGTTTTAACTGGAACTGGATTAATAAGCAACAGGGAAAGCGTGGCTGGGGACAACTGACATCCAACCTACTGCTCATTGGCATGGAAGGTAAGAAACTTTCAGAAAGCAGCATAGCTTGGAGTCATACAAACCTGATTTCCAAGCTTGTCTTCACTCATTTGCTTTATGACTCTGAACAAGTCATCTAACTTTAAAATCTCAGTCTCCTCTTCTTTGAAAGGAATAGCTTATAAATCACTATGAAGATTAAAGAGATAATGTATGTAAAATGGTTAAGCTAGTTTCCCGCACTTTAAAAAGAAAATTAGTTCTCTTTTCCCTTCCTCAGTTGCTGCATGAGCGTCTATACTCAGGTATGATGGGTCTTCCTGAAATACTGTTCTTAATCTATTGGATTTGCTTGTATTCAGAAGATTTTTTATTCCAGTAGAAGAGGAAAGTTTACTTTTCCAGTATAAATTGAACGTTATCTTTTGAATGTTAATGTATTTATGGAGTTAAATTCAAAAGGTATAAATAGGTGTGTAATGATAAATCTCTCTTCCGCTCCTATTTCCCAGCCTCCCGATAACCCTCCCTGGAGGTACCACATGTTAGTTGCTTGTGTATACTGCTAGAGGATTTTATGTATACACAAGCAAATATGTGAGTATGTTCATTCTTTTTTCAATAGAATGAGAGGAGAGGCCTTTGAACTCTAGTTCAGAGGAACAAGAGGCTTCCAGTACAAAAGAAGTAGAGCTGCTTACTGGCCAGGGTCATTGTCTTGTTCTTGTTTTTATTTCTGGCACTAGCCCAGGGCCAGGCCCATAATAGGTACCTAGTAAATGGTGAATAAATTGGATTAAACAAGGAAGCAGAGTAGTTATTTGTTGTCATTCACCACTGGGTTCTGAAGTCTCTCCTTTGTTCTTTCTTCAGTTTTGGATCCTTTGCTGCCAGTATTAATAAAGATTTCTAGCAGTGCAGCTTATGGATTGCACCTCTAACCTGTCCCTTTGAAACCAACTCTTGATTAACCTGCCAGGAGCTAGTTCTGACCTACTTAGCTATAAGTTTTTCTTTTGCCTTCCTGCCCTTTGCGTAGCGTGCACTGAAGCGGATCCCTCAGGTAGAGATGAGAGAGCAGATCTCCTCTGAGGATGCGCATGAACTCTTAGCATTTATGAAAGCGGCTGTCTTGGCCCACTCAGGCGGACCAGGGAATGTTTTCTGAACTCCGTGCCCTGCACAGGGCCCTCAGCTCTCAGGGATTGTGCAAAGGATAAACAACAGATAAGGTCCCAGTTACAAAGAGTAGATGGAGCAAATATACACTAGTGCAGAACTAATTCAAGTTGGCATTTAAAATAATTCGCCTTACTCAAATTATACAGCATTTCAGGAATCTGATATGCTCTCCTCATGCCTCCACGACAATTAACAGCCTCCGTGTTGCTCTAAGAAGTATTGCATCCCACAGATGTGTTGAAGTGAGAACAAAGGTTGAGAATCTTTGAGCTCCAGAAGAGCTACTCAAAGCAAGTACATATTCATACAACTTCAAGTGACTGATTAACTCCATCAAAGACGGTTACGCATGCATTGTTGATACCAGTCACTTCAGTTGTTTGTTACTCCTGTTTTGTTATCCTTTGATTCTTGCCATAGTCAAGATGCGTACAAGTATGCACAGTGTATTACTTTGCCAGACTTGTGAATATCATCTTGATGTGCTGCTGCTTCCAGTAAAGGCAGAAGCATCATTTATGAAAGTTTGCTTTGCTCTGATTGATGGTGAACCATTAGCTAGCGATGGTTTCTGAACAACTTATTGCCCACTGAAAGTTTAACAGTTTGCTGAGAGTTGTAATTGCAGTCGCCCCAATTGTGCTTGAAGTTTTGATTAGAAACCCTTAGCTGAGAGGGCAGGCTGGGTTTCTCTCCAGCATTGGGCCTTGTGTTCTAGCCTCTGCAGTCAAGCCACCGCTCTGAATAAGAAAATGTCTTTCCTCCTACAGGAAATGTGACACCTGCTCACTATGATGAGCAGCAGAACTTCTTTGCTCAGATAAAAGGCTACAAGCGATGCATTTTATTCCCTCCGGATCAGTTTGAGTGCCTGTACCCATATCCTGTTCATCACCCATGTGACAGACAGAGCCAGGTGAGCTTGTGTAGTCTGAGGAGGGTATAGCACTCCTTTGGGATCCAAGGTTGGCATGTCTTTCCCCTTCCCTGTGGATAAACTCAGGATAATTTCACAGTGTAGCTCACATATTCCAGGCCCTTGTGGTGGTCCTCCTTAGATGTTCATAAGGATAAACAGTTCTGTCAAGGTAATTCTGGAGGGCAGACCCCATCACTGATGCTGGTGGACTCTGGTCACCCTGTTTGAATGTGTATGTCTCCATTGGGTTTAGTAATTGCTTTCTGTTGTCATGGATGCCGCTACTTTTTGATAAGGAGAAGGGTGAACAGAATTGTCATATGTCATTTACTGTCTTTCCTGGATCTAAAAGAAGTATGTGGTTGACTTTATGGCCAACCAGGGAGGGCTTCTCCTTTCTTGAGAGAACTGCCTCGCCACTTCATGTAGAAGTTTTTGCTGACAGGAATATGTGTGTGGGAGAAAGTTTCAGAAGATTGGGCTGTAGGGTGCATCCTCATTTCCCATGTCCAGGCCATGACTAGGTTTTCTGACCTGTGAGCTGTGATGATTGGCTTCTGACCTCAGGAGTACCGAGTCCCAGTATTCTTTAACACTTAATTCTCAAGCCTGGCTTGTCTTACACCGTTCTCTGAGAGAGAGTGTATATGTTTAACATGTGTGTGGTATCTTCTGCCGGATATAAATTCTAAACACATCTTTTATTCTTAAAGCCATCTTTTTATCACTACCAAACTAGCACATCGCAGTTTATATTAATAAAGATTTGGCGATTGACTGATTTTTTTTTTTCTTTTTCTTGAACCTCTCAGGTGGACTTTGACAATCCTGACTACGAGAGGTTCCCCAATTTCCAGAACGTGGTTGGTTATGAAACAGTGGTTGGCCCTGGTGATGTTCTTTACATCCCAATGTACTGGTGAGGAGGGGGTTAGGACTGGGGGCTTTTTGGGAGCTTTCTTTCCCATTCCCCGGAAAGCTGTATTTGTGTCCCTTCCAAGTTGTGGCAGAATTGGTTTTATGTGATCTACAGAAAGGTCGGCATATCCAGATGTGACCATACTGAACATGGGAGAGATGACAACACAGTCTGTAGGACAAGATGACAATTCCTCAGGTCCAAAGAGATTCCAGAGGCTTGAGGCTGAAGAAACTGTTCTTGGCTCTTCTGTATTTGGAAACTGAGCTGAACACCCACTGCCTCTGGTCCCAGGGTGTGTTTGGCAGGATGAATGTAAAGATAATGTGCTTGTCATTTGTTGTAGCCGGACTTTACCTAGTTTTCTATCTCTCTCTAAGGAATATTGGTGGCAAACAGGAGCATGTTTATTTTCTTGCAGGTGGCATCACATAGAGTCATTACTAAATGGGGGGATTACCATCACTGTGAACTTCTGGTATAAGGTGAATATGGGTTTTTTTTTTCCTCCCTAGATGGGATTGGGGTGAGGTAGGTGTAATAATTTGGGGGCAGGGTGGGGAGGTTGGCTCTCTCTGAAAGCGATTTCCAGGTCTTTGGAGAGATGAAGAGGGGTGGGATTGAACTGAGTTTCTTAGAAGGGTTAAAGGCGCTAGAATGGTGGGTTACACTGAAGCCTGCTGCTAAAGGCATTTCCTGAGCTGCTGCTTCCTTTGCAGGGGGCCCCCACCCCTAAGAGAATTGAATATCCTCTCAAAGCCCATCAGAAAGTGGCCATAATGAGAAACATTGAGAAGATGCTTGGAGAGGCCTTGGGGAACCCACAAGAGGTATGTGGCTGCCCCAAGGTGGCACTCCTATGGCCCAGTGGGCAGAGTGACCAGGGAAAGTCAGGATTGATGTCACATTCTCCATAGCTCTGTTTCAGTATCTGGTGTCCTTTCTCTCCATAGAGGTTATGGGCATGTTCAGAAAAATCTTTGTTTTCTGGTGAGAGTTGGGCTTGACTGGTGGATCAATTATAATCTGTTCCATGCTAGTGGTAATGTTCCCCATGGGGCTTGTGTGCCAGCTGGGGACCCCTGGGGGGATTCTTCTGGAATGGGAAGCGAGCGGTAAAGTATCTCCTCACACTCTCCCAGCTGTGCCAAGGCTGCTCTAGGTAATGTTGAGACCTGCTTCCCACACAGGTGTGCCAGTGGCCCATTGGGGACCTAAGGGAGGTATTTGTAATGCTCTTGCCTTCTTCCCATGGATAGCCTCAGCATCCAGAGGACCTGTGGGATTGGAAAGTGGCTCCAGCCCCAATTGCGGGTTACCATTTCAGGATACAGAGGCATTTAACCTTCTTAAAGCTCATTTAAGAAACATGCAGGTGGGGCGCCTGGGTGGCTCAGTGGGTTGGGCCGCTGCCTTCGGCTCAGGTCATGATCCTAGGTCCTGGGTTCGAGCCCCACATCGGGCTTTCTGCTCAGCAGGGAGCCTGCTTCCTCCTCTCTCTCTGCCTGCCTCTCTGCTTACTTGTGATTTCTCTCTGTCAAATAAATAAATAAATAAATCTTAAAAAAAAAAAAAAACATGCAGGCACTCTTAGGTTTGGGGGGATTATTGGCTCCTCTGACCTTATGTCAGTTTGGTGCTATTTATAGGGTATTGTGAGAGAGAAGGTAACATACAAGAGGGACCCAGATGAGAGGGTCATGTCCTGGAATATTTTCCAGGAAGAGAGTAGGTTAGTGTGTTTATAAGATTGAACGAAAGCCTTGTCCCTGCCCTTGGTTGGACATAGAATGCCTCCAGACACACCATGTCTGGCTCCAGGGCCAGGGGACAGGCAGTTCTGACTGGCTCCTCATGTCTCTTCACAGGTGGGGCCCTTGTTGAACACAATGATCAAGGGTCGATACAACTAGCCTGCCAGGAGTCGAGGCCTCCTGCCAGGTGACTGCTAGCCCGTCCACACCGCTTCATTGATGAGGACAGGAGACTCCAAGCGCTAGTATTGCACGCTGCACTTAATGGACTGGACTCCTGCCATGGCCCTGGAGGCAGGTGTTTGGGGCAAGGCAGGGTGGTTGGCGCTCCACTCCCATTTGGAGAGACTTCTTGCCCTTGCCTCTGTGCCCCAGCATCTTCCCTCTCTGCCCCCACTAAGGCCTGCATTCAGTGTGTGGAGTCCCAGCTTCTGGTTGTCATCACGTCTGTGTGCGTCAGTCTGTCACCCTTGGGATGAGTGTGCGTGTGTGTGCATGCACACGCACGTGTGTATCTGTTCCTTGCTTTCTCCTTCTGAGTCAGGATGCCACTGCTGGCCCTTGGGCCTGTCTCCTGCAGCCTCAGTGCCTCAGCCTGAGAGAGAGGAGATGGTCTCGGATGCCCACTATATCTGGGCTGCGGGGCCAGAGCACTCCTGACCACCAGGTCAATCTGCCTCCTTCCAGTTTTCACAGTCAGGCTCTAGGCTGGGTGGCAATGGTTACTGGGACTCTTCATGGGCAGAGTGAGAGGGGGACTTGCCTCTGAGAGCCTGGATAGCCTTCCTGTGAGAGAATCAGAGTTCCAACTTGGACCTTTCAGCTCAAGCCATACATAAAAAAACCCTCGGGACATGAGAGCCAGGGATTATGCCTAAGTTCCAAATTGCAGACACATACAGCTTCTCTATTACAGCACCAGCTCCAGCTCCCCGTGCTGAGTACCAGGGGAGTTCTCTTAGTAGTGGCTTCTCTAGGTTCTAGGGCTATGAGCCTCTGTGTGGATGTGTGTGTGATATGTGTGCACACACACACGTGCATCTGTGTCCGTGTCCACACTGGCCTGCCTCTTGGCTTACTGAGTTTCTCCACTGCTTAACCTTGTCCAGTGGGACACACAGTGTAAGCCCCAGGGAAGTACTGCCTGGCCTAGCCTAAAGCTTTTAAACTCAGTTTTAGCCATCGGACGCTGGTCAGGTCTCACTGCAACCCACCTGAGGCTGAGTGGTGAGAGCCTCCAGGTCCTGTGACCCTCCCTGCCCAGGCCACGTCCTCCACTCCTGCGGAGCCTCCTGGTCAAGTAAATGAAATGGGGTCAAGCCTAGGCAGCCAGCTTGCCACCTGTCATCCACCTCAGGGCAAGGACAAAAATACAGCCTTGCCTCTTAAAGCCAGCGCCTCTGCCAGACCCCTCTGTAATGTTCCACAAACACCCTTGAAAGTCAGGGCAGCTGATGATGGAGCACAGAAGTGGAATTTCTTTTCCTGTTCATTGTTACTTGTGGGAACCCCTCTCAGGGCTGCAGCTTGGAGCTGGGTACTACACAACCCAGAGGGCCATCGGTCACATGATTCAGTAGAACTGGGGCCACTGGAATTGGGCAGTATGGTGGCCCTGTAGTCCTGTGTCTTCTCACCTCCACTCCCATCTCCATGCCCCTTCTCTCTGGAAGGAAAGAGGAGTTGGAAAACTCTGGGGTTTTTTTGTTTGTTTTGTTTTATTTTTTGCCAAAGGTTTACTGTCAGCTTCTGAGCTGTGGCTCTAACCCCCAAAGCTCAGTTTACAGTTACAGTTAACAGCGCACTGATGGACTGAGAGGATGTATGTGTGTGCGTGTGTGCACCTGTTTGGGTATTGGGGTAGGGGTGTTTATTCTTAGTACCCCATTCTGGGGTTCTCTGATGCAGCGTGGGTGTGCAAACACGGTACCTTCTCAAGTGTAGTTCTTTCAAATATAGCCAATGCTGGAAAATGTGATTGCAGTGATCTCCATCCCTCCATCTCTTGGGAAAGAGGAGTGCAGCAAAGAAAACAAGGCAGACAGAGGATAAACTTCAGCTTTGTTCTCCTTAGGAGGTCTGCCGCGCCCCTGGCTCAGCGTTCAGGGATGTGGGCGATGTGCAGCAGGGAGGCATGTGGCCCTCCGCTGCTCCTGGCTGGGTGCTGTGCTGGCACAGATCTGACCTAAGGCGACTGGGTGTGGGGGGAGGGTCCTTTACAGGATTGGTGCTGACCCTTGGGTAATACAGTAGTGACCCTGATTATTAGACATTCAATTTCTGCGTAGTGCTCTCATTTTTGTTCCTCACTATCCTGCAAGGTAGGTATTTCCATTTCACAGCTAAAGAAACGGGCTCAGAGGGGTTTCAGTGATGAGTGGCAATCAGGATTTGAACCTACTGTTCATTTGACTGCAGAGCCCCTGCTGCTCCCTTTCCACCATACACTTGTTTCTCCTGCCTTGCTGCCTACCTTTTCGTACAGGCTGTCCTCAGGTCTCACCACACTGGGCAGTGCCCAAGAGGGTGCACAGGCTACAGCTCAGGGTAAAAGCTCTTTTGGGCTCCAGCTAAAGACTTCTTGTGAAAACTGTCAGGAAGCCTTGTTCTGAGTTAAGACTGCTGGAAGGAGTTGTGGGGAAACTGAGTTCTAGATCCCAGTGCATTATTTGTCCTTTAATAGGTACCATAACTTCTCCCAGCTTGCTTTTGCACCTTTAAGATTGAAGATCCAGTTCTAGATAATAACTAAGAACATCGATTCATGTTCTGCTGCCTCCCTTTCCCCCAAGGAAGAGAGCTAGTCTCCTCCCTTCCCTTAGGGCTAAGTAAGAGCTTTTTAGGCTCAGATTCTACTTGCGGCTAAGGAAACATACCTGCTCTGTTGCTTACTCCTCTGCTGACCAGCAGTGTGCAGGCGACACTCCAAGGGAAGGTGGGGCTTTGGACCTGAAAGGAGGTCAGCCATATTATAGGCTCGCGTTTTTACATCAGCAGGTATATGGGAAACTGTTCTTTTGTGAAGTCAAATATTTGTTGGGGAGTTGGAGTTCAGGGGAGGAAGGAAGGGCTGTTCTGGGCATCAGTTGAGCAGATGCCCAGGATGCCTGGGGGAGACCAGCTTCCCCTACAAATCAGAGCTCTAAATTACAAGGTTTTTACCAACGCGAACAGTTGGGGGAAGTCGTCTGCTCTCATTTGCGTAATGGTTTCTGTCACTGGTGATTAGACACAGGATGAAGGAAAAGAAATTTGACAATTAGGAATGAGCGATCATTAATCTGAATCTGTTAGGAGACAGAGAAGGGAAGGATTCTTATCAGTGGGCCAGTCCGGTGTGGGGAGACCCTCCTTCTGCCCCTACCAGAGACCTCGGGCCACATACCCTTCCATTGTTCCCACATGCAGGCTGAGCTGATGTTTCTTTACAAAGCCTAGGTAGACCCATTCCCCAACCTGAGGTAGATACAGTAGGGTGGGTATAGGAATGGGACATCAGAGAGAGATGGATGGGTGTCAAGTGCAAGTGACAGGGCAAAGAATACCAATGGAAAAGTTTTGACGCATTTGCTGTTTGTGGAAAAATTCTTTTAATCAACACTCCAGCTACCTGACCTGTGACAAGTGTCTGTTACATTCCAACACTGCAGGATGTGGAGAAATCCTGGTTTTTATCTTCTAGGATCTTCTACTTAGTTGAAAAGGGAACCACACAAAACAGAGGTTGTGAAGCCATGAATCTTGAACCTTGTGAGGACAAGATGAGAGATTGTTGAGAGGAGGAAGATCAGTAGAGAGCAAGCTCTGCCCCCAGGATCCTCCAAGTTCCTGGGCTCTTCTGGGAGGGACTCTTCCAGGCCTCCCAGCAGTGCTGGTTTTTTCCCAGTCATTGCAGCCTCAGTGCAGGAGCTACTAAGGGGACTGAGGACCCCATCTGGGCATGTGAACAGGTGATGAGAAAACTTCAAGTGGGCTGAGTCCTAAGGTGTGGAGAGTCCCAACTTGGATTTTCCTGGGTCTCTGTGGCACATCATTATGCATTCTTCCTGTCTTCACACTTCAAGGACTATATTAATTTGCACTAGTTGGTGGTATTTGTTCTTCAGTTTTGTGACTTGTGTGTGGTAGGTTCCTTAGGGTATCAGAACGTGAACTTCCCAGAGATAGGACTATGTCTCTCCCATGGTAAACTACCTACCTCTGAGGCTTCTACCCTTTCGACTGGGTGCGGAGTTGATGCGGAGTAGGGTGACAGGGAACAGCCCTCAGTGACTAGTTTTACCCAAACAGGTTGGATGCTGGGGTGCATCTGGAAGTGGCTTCTTGGGGTTCCAGAAGCTCTGACCTTTCAGCCCTGTTCTCATCGTCCTCTGGAACCTGCAGTGCTTGTCCTCCAGTCCATGCCGACTTCTGGTGAACTCTCAAGCTTCCTGCATTGAAGAGCTATTCCATCTTCCTTTTTCAGGGCTCCCCCAGTTTCTCGCTCTCCCACTCAACTTCCTTCTGTCCAGTCTCTCTCAGGTAAGTGCCTTTTCCCTAAACAGTTGCGCTTTCTTCAGAAGCCTCATGGCTGCAGGTGTTTGGATAGACTTTCTCTAGGATCTCTCTCCCAGAGCATCTTTGCGTTATCGTCCTTTTTCGACCTGTGGTTAGTCCATTTATTCTGTGTCTGCTCTGCCCTCTTAGTGTTCCTTTGTTAATTCTGTGCAGCCTGCTTCGCTTTTCTAACTCTGGTGGCCCTTCTGCAAGTCTTCAGCCATCTCTGTGTAATCATCATCGGTCTTAGGGTCCTCAGTGGAGCCAAGCTGAGTGCTTTTGGCACGCTTCTGGGGGATGAGGCCTTAGACACTGGCAGCCTTAAGGCCCAGGGACCAATGGTCCTTGGGGCCTCCAGAGGTAGGTGAGGGGAGGGTACCTAAAGTCTTGGACAATGGAGAGCCAGTGAGGAGGGACTGGGTAGGAGAATCCCAGGATGGGGCCAGGCCTCGCAAGCTAGGATGGAATAAGCAGTTTCGTGCTTCCCCCTGAATGCATCCTGTGTGCCTTATGGCCCAGCAAGCAGTTCAGGGATGGTGGGCATCTTGTGAATGTCTCCTAGCTTCTCTTGGGTGTCTTTGGCCATGCCTCAAGTCACCAAGTTTGGTGATCTCTGCATTCGAGCGTTTGTTGGAAGGGAAACCGCGAATTGGTAGTTTTATGTAAGGATTGGAGGTCTCAGATGAGAAAAGCCGTGGAAGCTGGGGTAGCAGGTGAGAGGGACTCGTTGGTCAGCTTACCCGGGCTCTCTTCATTCCTCCAAGTGTTTAAGTATAAAAGCTGACTAAAGAAGTGAAAAAATGAGGCCTTGCCTTTTTCCCCACCTGAAGTCTGGGTTTCAGGTAGTTTTTGGGGAAGGAGTATATGCCCTTTAACTTCCAGTGAGAAGCAATCTAGCATAGTGTTTTAAAGAATGGATTTTGGAGTCCGATGTCTTTGGTTCACTTTTGTAGCTTTGCTACTTAACCAGCTGGTTTGACCTTGTTGATTGATTTCTCCTTTCTGAGCCTGTTTCCTCAACTCTAATGGTATGTATTGGGGTGGGGGGTAGTGTTGAAAATACCTACCTCAGTGTTGTCAGATAACTAACTGAAACAATGTAAAGCTTGAGCAAGGTGCCTGGCAAGCATTTAACTAAATGGCTGTAGTGGTGGTGGTGGTGGTTTATGATGTGGTTTTTTCAGAAACTTGATTTCAGTGATTTGTGAGCAGATGTCCAGTGATTTCTTTTCTCTAAAGAAAACCATAGGGAAAAACAAGGAAAATGCCCTGGAGATGCCCATATTGAGTTGGGGGCAGACAAAAGGGCCCTGGTACCCAAACCTGTCCTAGAGGGAGGGAAACAGGGAATTGTCGGATACCTTTTGCCTGGTCAGTCAGACATGACCACTCTCCACGCCAGTCCCAGGGTGAGGGTGAGAAGCCATCAGGTGTAAGCTCTCCTTACACCATTGGAGAGGTGAGGGCAGCTGAATGGGTTCCCATCACCCCTGGAGAAGCTATGCCAACTTCACGTCATTAGACACCAACGCAGTCAAGTGGGGCCCTGTTCATTCAGTTTTATTCTGTGAGCTTCAGTGTATTCAAATTGTATGTGTGTTAAGAGGTTCTAGGGCAGAGGGTATTGATAAGCTGGTATCTGGAAGATAACGGGACTGGGGAGTAGTGAAGAGCATACATTTCTCCTCTGGCCTATTTCCCAGTCCCCAAACACTGTGCTCCTCTGTGTTTAAGGTTCTGTTAATAACTCCTAGGAAGGAATTGGGTGATGGACCCCAAAGGAAGAAAACCCTTTGGTTAGCCATAGAAATCTTTGGAAATCATTTTGGTTTGGTTGCTGGGCCAGGTTTGTCCTGGAGTGCAGAAGGATTGGACTTGCTCCTTTGTAGCCTTTCTCCTGTCCTCTTTCTCAGAGGTCTGTCTGCATTCTGGCCTCTGGAGCCACTCTGTCACCCTACTTGAAAGAGATTTCCTAATACAGTCACTCAGACATCACCCTGAGGTATATTCTGGCTGCCTGGAATTCTCAGCCTCTTCTACACCCCCACCCACTCCCCTCCTCCCCACGGTGAGCTGAGCCAAGGCCCTCTGTAGCCATGTACAGCCTCTTTCCTCCGACCTTGGTCCCCAGCCTCATGGGTGAAGAAGACCCCTCTCTAGTTTGTGCCAAGTCATTTCTGGACTATAGGTCATCCTGTAGTCACCTTGTATTCATTCACCTCGTTGCTTCTAGATTTCTTTGGCTGTGGGCCTTGGAAGACTTCTCCTTGGGCCCAGAAAATGTTGTATTCAGTTTGCTTAAAACCTACTCAGTCATTGAGGTCAGTTCTGCCCTTAAGGGAAGCTCTGCTCCTTAACCCAAAATCTAAGCTATATTTGGGCTAGGTTTTTATCATTTTTCTAGTATACAGTGTACAGTGCAACATAGGGTAGTGGTTGAGA